AAGTTTACCCTGGTATGTACGCGTCGACAAATCAAGGAGACTAAGTAGGTGCAGACGAGGCTTAGAGGTGCGCAGCATGAGCTCTGGCGAGGGGGAGCTCGCCAGAGTCTCTAGGTCAGTGAGGTGTTGAATGGCCTCACTAATCTTCCTAGACCGTTCCTTCTTCAATCTAGAACCCTGCTGAATCAGTGTGCCCCTCAGGACCGCTTTCAGTGCCTCCCACTGAAGAGGAAGAAGAGTGGGGTCAGAAGCATGGACATCTAGGAATTGGGCAATACCCTCCTGTAGAGCAGCGACACAACTCGGGTCAGACAGCAAGGATTCATTCAGCCTCCATGTCCATTCCTGGGCGGGAGCCAGCGGGATTTGCAAGGACAGTGTAACTGCAGCATGGTCTGACCAAATCATTGGGCCAATGTCGCAGGAGACAGCCCAGTCCAACAGTGGATGGGAGGTGAACAAATAGTCTATTCTACTATAGGAGTGATGCGGTGCGGAGAAGTGAGTGTAGTTCCGAGTTTGAGGGTGTAAGACTCTCCAAGTGTCAATCAGGTGTAGGCGAGAGAGTTGAACCCAGACCCTATGAAGTTTGGCAAAGGAAAGGGCAGCCCGTCCCGTGGACGGGTTGAGACTGGGTTCCAAGGCCAAGTTGAAATCCCCCCCCACTATCACCATGCCCTCCGCAAAAGCCTCCAGCTCCTTCAGAAGCCGGAGCGCGGATGCAGTCTGGTCAGTATTAGGGAGATAGAAGTTAGCGATGGTGTAGGTCCGACCCCAAAGTGACAGTTTGAGCCATTGGTATCGTCCAAATTCGTCTGCCTTATGGTCGAGAACCACTACTGGAAGAGATTTGTGGATAGCAATAGAGACCCCCCGCGACTTTTGGATGGCATTGGTACTATGGTACCAGGACGTGAAATACCTTTTGGCACACAATGGAGCGTGGTCAGTCTGGAAATGTGTTTCCTGAAACAGGGCAACTTGCACCTGGGACTTGTGCATGTGGTACAGGATCTGCCCACTTTTGGATGGGACATTCAGACCCCTGGCGTTATAGGTACATAGGCGCAGCTCTGCGGGGGCAACTACAGGCGTGGCCATGGCAGAGAGTGTGGGAAAAGGGGAAAAAAGAAACAAATCAGAGTTCGAGGGTAGAGGAGACAGGGCCACAGGGGGCAGAGACAGGAGGAACCTTAGATGGGTATAAAGGATATAATGGAGGAATAGAAAAAGAAAAAGCTGAAATAGAACTAGAGGGGGAGGTGAGGAGGTAGGGGGGATAGGTGAGAAAAGTAAGATAAGCGACACAGGAAAGGGACGGAAAAAAATACAAAACTAAAAGCGCAGCCGGAGCCGCTACGGGAAGGATAAGCGTCTAGTCAAAGCTAGAATACAACAGTCTCCAATAGGAGACGTAATACCTATGTGGGGAGAAGTGGTCGAGAATGAAGGAACAAGGTGCCTACCAGGGCCCAATTATGAAAATGACATAAAATACTGCAACTGGTCTCGACACCCACTAGAACTAAGCATAACATCAATTCCATCCCAACAGACTTCCTGCGGCAAGTGGGCAGGTAGTCATTCCGGTGTTCTCTGTCCCCACGTCCGCGACCCCCCCCCACAATCGGGAAGAGTGCCAACAAGAGGAGAGCGGACCCCTCCCACCTCTGTTCAGGGTAGGGGGGATCGTCAAGTTGATCTACCCATGCCAGCCCCCACCCCACAACCACAAAGAGCATAAACAGTAATACCACACAACAGTAAAAACAGGTCAAACAGTATGCCTACCGGAAAATGAAAGGCATAGGCCAGGGCATAGCAAAACCCTGAATATACTATGAGGCAACCCGTGAGCTGGTGGGAGCCTTGTAAGGAGCCCTCCAGGTCAGGGGGTCATTCAGAATACCTCGCCGTCGGTCAGGCAGCATGGGGGTGTCCACCGGAGCCCCCCCGCTAGTCCCGAAAGGCCAAGAGGGAATGGGAACAGTCAGCTCACCCCCAGACGGCCCAGGTCAACCGCGGCTTACAATGACCTGGAAGGAAAAGTTGGTTGGGTGGGGTCCCGGGCAACAATATGGGATAAAGGCAATAGGACAGGCCCCTGAGACATAAGGCATGTATTCGTTCCTCGGGGGATCAGCATTATGATGACAAAAAACACAATGTAATATACGGCACGGCCTAGTATATATGACGGGGGGTGAGCTGACCCGTGAGCCAGTAGACACCCATCCGGTGTGCCACGGGATCAGGGGTCGTCCAAGGGCCCCCCGCCCTCCGGTTGTTCGAGTGGGCCAGGTAAATCCCAGGAGTCCAGCAGCCCCCCACAGCGCCCCCAAACCGCTAAAGGTGGAAGGGGGTCGCCATGAGGAACCGATCCACATCCGAAGCCCGCCAGGAGCAAGATGGACCAGCCGCAGCCCCTGTAAGCCTATGAAAGAGAAATGGTTAGTGAAGGCAATATAGTACAAGACAAAGTCATTTCAGGTAAACGAATAACAAGGCGCCTGACAGAGGATACAGCCGAGGGTATGCCGGACACAGTAGTTTAACCCTCATTTGCTGACGGGGCCCCGGCCCCAACCGGTCCCCGGTTTCTACGGGACGATCTCGAACGGGCCCTGCTGCGGCGATGAGGTAAGGCGTCAAAAGGCCGGGAATTCACTCAAGTGAAAGGCAAGTCCAGCCAGTCCGGCACCAGGATCGGGTCTGTCTCCAAGAATTCAAAAAGTTCAGGCAGCTGTATTGGGGAGCGGAGATGGAAGGACCCGGAGCTCTTACGAATTTGAATGCTGAAAGGGTGACCCCAGCGATAGGTAGCTCCCACCTGACGGAGAACATCTAGCAGAGGTCTCACGGTCCTGCACATTGCCAGGGTTAGGCGGGAGGGGTCTGGGAGAAGTTGGATGGAGGCGCCGTCAAAGTCTATAGGACCTGTTCTCCAAACTGAGCGAAGGATCTCCTCTTTAATAGCGTAGAAGTGTACCCGACATAGGACATCCCTAACACGGTTCAGGGGTCCCGGAGTGGCACCGGATACACGGTGAACCCTGTCCAGTTCGATGAAGGTGGTGGAAGGTTTACCTAGGGCCAGATTGAGGATAGCGGTGATGGGAGCGTGTAGATTGGGGCCGTCAGTAGCCTCAGGGATCCCCCGCAGGCGAATATTATTGCGTCTACTGCGATTCTCACCATCTTCCACTCTCAGTTGCAGCTGTTGGAGTTGGGTGCGATGAGACGCCTGGGCAGCCTCTAGTGCCCCCAGGCGGGCGTCATGGGATGTCACCGAGTCTGATAGGGCCGAGATGTTAGTGTCTGCGGTAGTCACCCTCTGGCGGAGCTCTCTCACCTCACCCCTCAGGGTGCTTTCTAACCTCAGGGCCCAGGAATCAAAGTCAGCTCTAAAGGCTGTAAACAGTTCACGTACCTCCCCTGTAGTGTGATCTGGGTCCAGGGGCACCGCAGGTGGCTGTGACTCACGGTCCTCTAGAGAGGCTGGTAGTGTCTCACATTCAGTGGGGGAAACATCAGGGTCCTGGTTCCTTACACGGCGCCTGTGAGGCCACTGAGACCGGAGAGGATGGCTGGGTGGGGGATAACGTGGGGCCCAGGGCCTTCGGTCCCGAGGGTCAGGTGGAGGAACGGAGCCCCTGAGTGGATGCGGGAGCGGGCGCAGCCGCGGCCTTAGGCGGGACGGCTTTTGGTGCCATGGTGCGGCCGGCCTGTGATGTGGTCTCGATCGTGCTGTGCCTGAAATAAGAGGCGATGTCCCAGGTCCAGGAAGTGGAAGGAGTCTCGGGCGAGGTCTGGGCACCGGGCATAGGGCAAAAGGTAATACCTGAGCTGAACAGTCTACTGAGTAATAGCCCCGGATCGGCAGAGCTCAAATCCGTGCGTCTTCACTCCTCCATGGTCGGCCACGCCCCCCCCCCCACCAATACAGGATTTAATTTTCTGCTGAAGCTGGACCTGTGTTCCAAATAGGAAATGTAAGTGCATTGTCTAGGGCAGGGATGGCCAAAATGCGGCCCTCCAGCTGTGGTGGAACTACGAATCCCATGAGGCTTTGCAAGATTCTCACAGCCACATACATGACTTCCGGAGACAGATGCTTCATGGGATTTGTAGTTTCACCACAGCTGGAGGGCCGGAGTTTGGCCATCCCTGGTCTAGGGTACTTGGTTTGCCATATACATTATGTGCTGTGGCCCCTAGGGAGGAACTAGGGTATGCTTGCTTGTGAGCACAAAAGTTTATATTTTGTAGAGCTAGGTTTAACGTGCATTTCCACCTTTTGTAAGTGATTAGCATTTATTGTAGTAATAAAGAGGTGCAGTGATGATGTATACATGTACACATTTTCATGACTCACATTGCAGACTTTCTTCATTTTTTATGAAGATTTTATTAGGCCTGAAGTCTAAAAATTTAAAATTTTCTCCAAAGGAACTTCAGTTAGACACCAGGATCAGATGGTAATTAGGCTATAATCAGCTGCCCCCTCTCCCTGTCACCCATTGTAACATGATCAGCAAACACTAGCTCTGCCTTTACACTGTCCAGGGAAGTGGGGATATTTTCACACTGCTTGCACAGCACAGAGGCAGAAAATTCCATGTGGATATAATGAGGAAAGCTAACAAAAATGTAAGTTTCTGTTTTCATGTACATCAACTGCATATGCCCATTTCATGTACACATGTAATAAAGTTAATTGCGGCCTGTTTGCAACCCGCGCTGTTGTGTGGATTCTTGATACCTGCACAAACTCCCTATGGGCTTATGTGCCCCATGAGACAGCAAAGTCCAAGATTACTACCTTTAAAAGCAAGATAACCTACAAGACAATATATCTGCTGTTGCTTATAAGAGAGAAGTTATAAGAGAGAATTAAGTATACAAAACATGTGTAAAGTTATTCTGATGGTTAATATTAGGGAATTTTGTGTTGTACATGTAGCGCAAGTTTGTCTTACAGATCTTATTTTATTCACTAGGTGTTGGCTACACTGTGATATTAATAGCACTTTATGTGGGCTTCTACTACAATGTCATCATTGCATGGTCATTATACTATTTGGCATCTTCCTTCACCTCTGAGCTTCCTTGGACCACATGTGGAAATGTGTGGAACACTGCAAATTGCACTGACCCAAGTCTTCTCAATGCTTCTCTTTTTGAAAATGGAACAAAATATTCAAAGTACAAATTAACTCCAGCTGCACAATTTTATGAGTAAGTATTCTTAATGAGTTAAACTCTTCTGCACTTTAATAGTGATCATCACTGGCAGTCTATACTGCTATTCCTTTTTTGCCATTTAGCACAAACCAAGCATTTTGTACAATATGATAAAATGTTTAAACTGACTCTAAACTCAGACGCTAAAACTTAAAAATGCACTCAAGTACCTTAACTATTAACACAAATGTAGTTTATTTGTGCGTCATTTAGCTGTAGATCTTCAAATCATTTCTGAATTTGTGCTGATTCTCTCCTGCCTTATGGAGGTTGGCTATCTTTGTTACTCATGATCCCTGTGTGTGTTTTAAGGTAGCTACCAGTCAAAGTAAATTAAACGTGAGATTGTAGTCCATCACGGGAGTGAGCTTGGAGCGGTTGCTACCTTACGACAAACACAGGGACCGTAAAGCCACCCTCCAGAAGAAAGGACAATGTCAGCATGGATTTAGAGATGATTTGAGTATCTGAAGCCAAGTGATAAGTAGCTGCCTCATTTCCCACCCTCGGCTTATATTCGGGTCAATACTTTTTCCCAGTTTTTTTGGGTAAAAGTAGGTACCTCGGCTTATACTCGGGACGGCTTATACTCGAGTATATACGGTAAGCTACATTTTTTTACTAGGTAAGGTACTTGAATGCATTTTAAGATTTTAACTCCTGAGTTTAGTGTCACTTTAAGTAATCAACTTAACTTTATATCATATCACCATTCCAAACCTGGTATGAACAGATGACTTACAAAGAAAAGATACACAGGCATAAACATAACGTATGGAAGTTTGGTTAAGTCTCACTGAATAACAAAGTTACATGGGAAGCCTCTGTGCTTTGCTTAGTATTATTCATATACAGTGTACAGTATAAGGTAACATATCAGGTTAATAAAGCCACTCTGTTCCTGTTTTCAGTGCTTTAGGGTTTGTTCATGCTGGCATCTGTGTTGGACAGCAGCCACTTGTGGCATGTGAGAAGTGAGGCTTATGCACTCAAAATAGTGAATCACACTAACTTTTTTTTTTTTTTTTTAATGGTATTGAAATGTCACAAAATGACATGTCATTCAGTTCTATTTACTGCACCACATTGTGATGTAGTGTACTATGTTGCAATATGCATGCAGTACTTTTTTTCATCGCGCATCACTGCAATGCGGTGGTGTGAACTGACTCCATTGTAAATAAGTCTTGCCTTGTCTATGCATTTGGACTGTGCTGGGCAGAGAACACTAATGCATCTGGTGTGAATGGGTCCTTATTGCCATGCACCTCAGTGAGAACTGGCAGAATTTTGTGGCTTTTTAGTTTGTCATTAGATGATGTATTGCAAGGGGGTATGTGCATGAGATGGCCTTGAAAACAATGAAGTGAATTTCTTACTTTTGATATTGTGGTTAGTTTGGACTATAAGGGCTCATTCACATGGGGGAGCGCATGTCTGTACAGCGTGCACGTCTGGGCAAAGGCCCAATTCTATCAGGGACCAGTCCTGCTTATAATTTCGTACAGCAGCCTGTACCTTCTGTGGGTGGATGCAGCTGCACGCAGTTACACATGGTTACATGCAGACCCAAACCTGCACCTAACTGTGGGTCTGGGTGTCCCCGCACTTGGATACAGACAGTGTGCATCCAAGTATGGGCACCTGTACCCGTATGGATATGCAGGTTTGGGTCTGCATGTAACTGTGTGAAGACGCAATTACACGTAGCATCTGCCCCTCCCCAGATAGGGTCTCATATGTATGTCCCTTAAAAAGGAATTGATAGTAAAAAAATACAAAAAAGAGATAAAAGAAACAGCACTTACTCCATTTATTAAAACAGAGTGTATAAATCAGAATTCCATCCTAGTCACATGTTCAGTCCAGATAACATCAGCAAACAATCTCAAACATCAGCAAACAATCTCAAACTCAATAAACTAAGTGCAGAACAACGAAGACAAAGAGACCCACGTGATGGTGGACAATAGCATAGCCATTATCCTCCACCAGCCCTCATGTTGTCCTCTAGTAGGCAAAAAATGCATAGAGATGTACAATTTTGTGTCTGTTGACATACACTGCTGCAAGTATGTCAGGAACATCCTGTTCTCAGAGTTAAAGGGCAAGTACAGCTAAAACTGACATTTCAGTTTTTGTCAAGTGCTATAGAATTAAAATAGTTAGGGACTCTGATGGGAAGATCATATTGACAGTGTTCTCAGAGTTTTGTTCCCAGAGTTCTTAAGGCAATTTCAATATACTTTCTATTATGAATAATTAAACAATAGGTGGCAAGAACATGTACAACTTCAGGGGGGACAGAAAAAGCCTGGGACGTCCTGATACAGTGTAAGAAGCCAGTGGGTAGTTCAACCTAGTATACTAGTAAACTATCAATATTGTTTGCACCAGTCCTTTAAATCTTGTCAATATATGTAAAGTTGTAATGTATTCTCTAAAAATGTATTTTAATTGTTTTTTGTTTTTGCTTTGTAAAAATAATCATTAAAATGTGAAGCACAGATTGTGTGTGATTTCTTTTTATTAGTTCCAGCTGTTGTTTCGGTAATAAGAAAAGGCTGTTTTTCAGGAAATCTTAGAGTTACAACTATTTATCTTTTACCATAGACGTGGAGTGCTGCATCTGCATGAAAGTGCTGGAATTCATGACCTTGGTCTCCCACGATGGCAGTTAACTCTGTGCCTTTTTGCTGTTCTTATAGTCCTGTTTTTCAGCTTATGGAAAGGAGTAAAGACATCAGGAAAAGTGAGTAAATTTTTTTGTATTATTTGTTAAAAGCAAAGTGGAGAGGATTTTTGGTGAGTTCATATTTTAAGTTAGTATAGCAGTATTTATCTTGGCCACTGACTTAATTACCTGATTATTTTGTTTACTACCTCATTTATTATTGTAATAAATATATGGAACGCTGAACTTCAAGAAGGCAATACAACTATTTAACAGTATTTGTATCACAAAATTATTTGCAAGCTGTAATAAAGTTACCAGATTTTCAAAATTAAATCTGAGGTGAGACTTTTACAGACACACATAAAGGATCATCTTTAAAAAATTAAACAGAATATGGACAAAAGAGCTAACACTTTGTCTTCTCCTACATGAACATCATAAAATAGTCAGAAACTACTTAGAACCCAGCAACTGTAATATACAGCATTACGCACTTCTAATTATATCTAATTCTAATCTAATTATTTATATAAATATGGGAAGAGTCTGCAGTGCGCCTGAAGTGTAGGTGACATATAGCTCTCCTGTCAGAGCGGGGTGTAAGCTATACAATTAGCGCTCATTGAACCAGTAAATTGTATACAAATGAGAGAGAGAGAGAGAGGCAGTGGCATAACCTCCTTGCACTTAACACTTAAGACAGCAGATTTTTAAAACTTAGCCAAGTGAATAACCGAGCCAAAGTGAACTGAGTCGAACGGCTTTCGGCTACTCAATTTGGCTCTGTATGGCTGATTTCAGCCGTACATCAGCTAAAATCAGCTGTACATCGGCTGGCTTCGGCTGGCTTCGGTCAGCCAAAACATGCTCTGCATGTTCATCTGAGCCGAAGTGCAGAAGCCGTTCGACTCAGCTGATCCAACATCTGGAAAAAATTTTGAAAAATTATTTAAATAAATGTCAAAAAAATAAAAACAAAATGTTAAAGAAGTAATTACAAAATGTAAACGAAAGAAAAAAAAAAAACAGTGCGGGGTCTCCTTCCCAATCCCGGTCTGGTAGGAAAGATAGGAGGGACCCCTATTAAAAAAAATGTGTGGAGTTCCCCCCAAATGTTCTACCAGGCCCTTTAGGTCTGGTAGGAATTTTAAGGAGGAACCTCACCCCAAAAATGGGGAAAACTCTTGATCCAGGCACAGACCTGGCAGGGCAGGAAAGGGGGAGGGCGAGGGAGGCCCCCCTCCCTGCCATACCAGGCCACATGCCCTTGGCACTTGGTCACATGCCCTTGGCACTTGGTCCCCATGCCGATGGGGACAATGGCCTCTTCCTCACAAGCCCTGGGGTGTTGGTTGTGGGGGTCTACAGGCATGTAGGCTTATTTTCATTAGGGTACCCCTTTAATTAAAGGAGAACTATGACATGAGTGATTTCCACTCACGTCATAGTTCTAAGCCGACCTGTGACAATGAGACTGTCACAGGTCGGCTAAGTAGATCGGGAGGTGAGGGAAAACATACCGGGTTCCCTCACCTCTCGATACTATCACGGCTCTCTGCCGTGACAGGGGGAGGGGCTGGATTCCCCTCTCCCCGCTCTGATCTGCCAGCGCTGACTGGCGGAACGGACGGGGGAGGGGGCGGGTACAGCTGGCTCTGCCTCTAGATAGGCAGAGTCAGCTGTCACTCACGCAGCTGGGCGGATCCCGTCATCTAAGTCGGGATCCGCTCCAGGTGCGGCGTCTCAGTATACTGAGCTTAGGGTGACGGGAGGACGCTAGTTTGTGTCCTCCCGTTACCCTAAGGAGAACTATGGGGAAAAACACTGACCCCATAGTTCTCCTTTAAAATTTACAGCAGCCATTCGGTTCGACTAAACCGAAGGGCTCCAGCGGCCGAAGTGAGCCGAAGGATCAGTCAAAGCTACGTCTAGATCCTTTGGCTCCTTTGTGAATAACCCTCTTAGTTTTTTTCCTGAAGTTATTCTTTCATGTTATGTAGATCTTTATTAATATAACACTGGAAATAAAACACCATTCCATTATCCAGTGAAAGCAATAATACTTTACATTAGTAAACATTGTATTTGTCTATAGTTTAGCCTTATTATTTAAAAAAAAAAAAATCATTCTGGGAGAAAAAAATGTGCATGTTGTGTAACATACTAGCATAAAACTATTTGCACTCTTATAATTGGAGGGGCAGCCTAGCATGGGCATTGAAAACATACAAATTCTTTTTTCAGAGACATTAAAATGTCAGTTTAACATAAATTATATGTTTAAATTCAACTATACAGTAAATACATTTTCTCTGACAAGAAATGTGGGTTTACAGGTTTTAAAAAATTTAAATTTAATCACTAATCTTGCTTGATGTGATAGAACAAAGATCTTTTATTTTTTTACACCTACTGCAATTCTTTTATTTATTTTTTTACATTTTTCAATTATATTTTTGCCACTTTATTTTTAAACATAAGCCATAGTCACAATGTCTTCCTATTAGTGACCATTAGGTAAAGTGAGTACACAATGTTCATAAAGGGATTATGTTTTTATGCAAATGCAATTTAATGCGATCTTGTGGCTTACACACATACACCATTTATGCGCAACACATATAGGTATTACTACATATGCTGGAATAGGAGGAACAAGGGCCGACATTTATGGTTAACTCAAAATTGATGAGCTGGAAAGGCTTTTTGGACAATTCTGGGTACTGTAGTTTTCCACTGTTCCTCAGACACACTCAATTATGAGGTTTAACATTTACATTTGTGGTCTAGTTAATCACTTGTGTTTGTAGGCACTTAAATTCATTTGTGTCTTTTTTAAATTTTAAAAATACAGATTCAATAAATGGTTGCACTAACACCATACAACATGAAAAATTACAATTGCCATCATTGTGTTCTATAGGCCTGTTGCTTTTAGCTGTGGCAGTGAAAGTGTTAAAGTATATCTAAACCCTAACAATAAACTTCTCTTATTTTGTCTCTTTTGTTCTGTTAAACATACCATACTTTGTGTTCTCTGCCTGTGCTGACTCTAATTAGTTACAGTGTTTAAAATTAGTTCTGAGGACTACAGAACCACTCCCCTCAATGTAATGGACAATAGAACAAGGGCAGGATTGTGTTGTCCTATCTTGTTTCTGCTGTATTAATACAGAAGGGTGAGTGAGTGTTCTCATCCTAGGACTTGAAATATGTTACCGGTAGAATAACCAGGTCAAAGTAAAGGGAAAAAGAGCAGGAAAAAACTAATGCAGCCATCACATCTAAGAACTGGTAAGCTGCAATAAATTGCATTTTTTATTAGATACATGGTAATGCAATTGTTAGGTATACAATGCAATCTGTACAATAAAGATATAAAGATAATTGTCAACAGTTCATAAACATCCATGTGAGAACCTTACTAAGCAATATACTATAAAATGGACCATTTGTGACACAGAAACAGTTTTTAGCATGTATACTTTTATTTGCCAACCAAATGTTTTCCATGGTCATGTCAAAATTCATTACTGTTATTTATTTTTGTAATTTTATGACTTTTATTATCCAGTAATTTTACATTTTAGGTTGTGTGGATAACTGCAACGCTACCATATGTGGTACTTTTTGTTCTTCTCATTCGTGGCATAACACTGCCTGGCTCTTCTAAAGGCATTAGTGCATATCTTCATATAGACTTCAAAAGACTCAAAGAACCTACCGTAAGTGCTATTTCTTACCATTATGTCTATTACAGTCAATCAAAACTAATGTAAACTTTTTGTGCGAAAAAACTATACTGAAAAAGCAGTGTAGAAGAATGTGGTGTAAAATTAGTTCACTACAGTCCTTTATTGCAGGGTCTTATGATAAGGCTGAATAACTCATAAAGTTCACAAACAGTAACATTTGTAATCACACATGAAAACTATCCGGGTTATTCACAAAGCTGCTGAAGGCAGCCGAGTGCATAACCAAGCCAAAGTGAACAGAGCCGAACAAGGTTCGCCTATTCACTCCAGCTCTGTGCGGCTGAAATACATCGGCTGAAATCAGCCATACATCAGCTCTGTGCAGCTGCCTTCGGTCAGCCGAACATGCTCTGCATGTTCACCTGAGCCGAAGTGCAGAGGGACTTCAACTCAGCCGGTCCAACATTATTATTATACAGGATTTACATAGCGCCGACAGTTTGCGCAGCGCTTTACAATATAGGGCAGACATTACAATCACAACATCTGGATCAGCTGAGCCGAAGCTACGGCAGTTCACTTTCTGCAGTTCGCCCCTATTCTCGGCTATGCCATTCACGGCATTCGGCTCGTCTATTCTGCTTGGTACCTCCGTGGTACCAAGCAAAATAGCAAATAAGTGAAAAAAGAGTGAAGAAAAAAAAAAAGGTTGAAAAAATATTTAAAAAATGTAAACAAATAGTAAAATTACAAAAAAAATAAAGATATTTAAAAAAAATGAAAAAAAGAAAAACGATTTGGCGGAGCTATCAGTGACAGCTAGCTCAGCCCAACTGTTTCCTATTGGCCAGCAATAAATAGCAACTGGGCGGAGCCGGCCATGACGTCACCGCATGCTCCGCCCAGTTGTTATTGTTTAATGACAGATCAGCGTTCCCAGGTCATTTGGGGACACTGATCTGTCATTACAACTGGGATATTGGCTATTGTGAATAGCCTGTACAGCAGCCCTTCGATTCAACTGAACTGAAGGACTCCGGCGGCCAAAGAGAGCCGAAAGATCAGCTGAAGCTATGGATGGATCCTTCGGCTCAATAGTCAATAACCCTCTACATTTATATTTTATATACCTACTAGACATGTGTGATTAGTTTAGCTCAGAATCGAAATTCGGACGAAATTTCGGAAATTCGGACATTTGGATGTATCCGAATTCCGAATTACAGATATAACGAATGCACGGAATCCGAATTTCCGATTCTGAAATTCGTTAGTGGTAGTCAGGACTACATTTAGTTTGTTGGACGAATTTTTGTTACAGCAAAATGACATTAGAAACATTTTAATTTTTTTTAGTCTGGAGAAGATGAAAAAGTGTGAGGTTTCCCCCAATTCATACCAGATCCTTTAGGTCTGGTAGGAATGTTAGGAGGGACCCTCCCCCAAGTTAAAACAAAAAAAAGTGCGTTGGGTTCCCCCAAAATCCATACCCGGCGCTTTAGGTCTGGTAGGAATTTTAAGGGAGAACCCCAGCCCCCAAAAATGGGAAAATAAAATGTGGGGTCCCCCTAACATTCCTACCAGACCCTTGATCCGAGCACTGGCCCGGCAGGGCAGAAAAGGGGGGGGAGATAGAGCGCCCCCCCTCCTTGTGCCTTACCAGGCCACGTGCCCTCAGCATTGGGAGGGTGTCCCCATGCCGATGGGGACAAGGGCCTATTCCCAACAACCCTGACCCGGTGGTTGTGGGGGCCTGCGGGCAAGGGGGCTTATTTGCATCGGGGTACTCCTTTAAGGGGGCACCCAGATTCCGCCCCCCCTTGTGAATGAGTAAGGGGTACTTGTACCCCTACCCATTCACTAAAGGGTTAAATCAAATAGTTATTAAAAAGTCCAGACTTTTGATAAAATCTTTAATTAAAAAAAACAAAGAGCCAATGTTTTACTATTCCTTTAATAAAAAAAAAATGGCTCCATCGATGTAATCCAGCGTCAATCACGATGCACTACGCCAGCCGAAATAAAAAAAGTCCCACCGCACAACGACCGTCCAAACCCAACGAAAACTCGCCGCAAAATTACATTCCTGCTCGAAAGTACACAGATCTCAGCTGTCAAATACTGTATAGCATTCGGGAACACCCAAATGCTATTTGTGAGTTTCCGAATGCCATTCGGGTCTGTGAGCCGAGGTGTCATATCAAAAGTATTATGACACGTTGGCTCACAGACCCGAATGGCATTCAGAAACTCACGAATAGCAATCGGGAGTTCCCGAATGCTATAGTATTGGACAGCTGAAAATGTCAAATGGGCAGAGCGAGTCGTGACGTCACGGCTCTCTCCGCCCATCTGTTTACTTTCGCGCAGGACGGTCGTCGTGCGGAGGAACTTTTTTTATTTAGGCGGGTCGGCGGGTGAAAGGGCCTGTTATGTATTTTGGGGGAACCCCACGCACTTTTTTTCTGTTATTTTTTTTTCAATTTGGGGGGGGGGGTCCCTCCTAACATTCCTATCAGACGCAAAGGGCCTGGTATGAATTGGGGGGAACCTCAAGCTTTTTTTCCCCCTCTTCTGCAGAAAAAAAAAAAATGTTTTTTATTCTAATGTAATTTTGCAGCAACGAAATTTTGTCCAACAAACAAAATTTCATCCAGACTACCGCTAACAAATTTTGTCCGAATCCCGAAACGAATTGAATTTCGCACCAGAATCCCGAAAAACAAAATAACGCGAATCAAAACGAAACTAAACTAATTTTTTGCCAGTGCACATGTCTAATACCTACAATTGTAATTGTAAGTTACAATGTCAATCTGCAGAGGCATACCTTGCATATTATTTTAGCAACTTCCACCCATGTTTCTCTAGACCAGGGGTCTCAAAGTACTGGCCCACGGGCCAATTGTGGCCCGCGAGCTGGTACTATGTCACTCGCAGCCACCTGACAAGTCATGGACCACGTATCTGACTTGCATGAGCAGCTACACGGTTGTCATCTTTGTCAGATGCAGACGGCATAGCTGCTGCTGGCTATGCACTCAGTTCCTTTTGGCCGGAACTCTGAGCTCTGGCCGAAAGGATGGATTAGTAAGGTCTGCACTAGACCTTAATAATCACCACTGGATCACCAGGGGAGGATGTGCCTCCTCCCTGCAAAAATGTAAGCAGGTGAGGGGGCTACTTGTTCTATTTTTGTGTGTGCAGGGGCCGGCGTATATTGTTTTATGTGTGGGGGGCAGAGAACAGGGGGGAGCAAATTATTTTATGTGTGGGGGGAAGGAAACAGGGAGGAGCATATTATGTTATGTG